ACTTGAACAAAATGAGATGTTGAAAACAGTTCAAAAACCCCAAAGAATAATAGCTGTGAGCGCAGGGATAACGTTAATGAAAGTTTTCTCTTGCAGTCTCTTCTCTGAGAGAAAAGAGGCTATAAGAGCTATTCTGCTTGGAACATAGATCTTGAAGTGTAAGAACAGAAACACCTACTGTAGGAATGTAAAAAAAAAAAAAAAAAGAAGAAATATGATCTGCTGCATTTTTGTATCTAGGAAAACATTTAGATATGAAATGGATAAAAGCTGTTCAGTTGGCTTTCATTGTGATAGAAATCCATATAAAATGTGGGATTGTTTTTTTTTTTTTTTCCCTTGATCCTACCCCTCTCAGCTCTGTTGTCCTGTTGCTCGCTAACTTCCCTTCTCAAATGTTTCTTTCTGATGTAGCTAAAGTTTTCTTGGAGAACACTGGGCTAATATAAAGAAAAACTTAAAAAAAAATCTGTTTAAAGGAGGCTGTTCCCTGCTAATCTCTGAAGATGCCGTGCCTCTAGGAAATAGTATAGGCAGTTTGAGAACCCCTGTTCTAGTCCAGCCTTTTTGTGTTGAGACTGGGCAAAGGACAGAAATTCTTAAAAAAATATATCTTATTATGTGACTGTTAAAAGGGAGAATAGACCATAATGGTGATACTTAGTACTATTTTGTTACTTTTTTACTGTGCTACTATTTTGAAGCGGTAGGGTTTTTTGCACGCTACTGTAAATAGGTAGTACGTGGCACCCACGTTCGAAACCTTGAATAGAATCGTAGACATTGTTTAGGTAGGAAGGGACCTTGAAGATCATCCAGTTCCAACCCCCCTGCCATGGGCAGGGACACCTTCTACTGGGCCGAGTTGCTCAAAGCCCCACCCCGCCTGGCCTTGAACACTGCCAGGGAGGGGGCAGCCACAGCCTCTCTGGGCAACCAGTGCCAATGCCTCACCACCCTCACAGTGAAGAATTTTTTCCTTATATCTAATCTAAATCTCCTCTCTTTCAGTTTGAAACCATTACCCCTCATCCTGAGAAAGTCCTTCTGTAAAGGTTTACTGTACTAGGGACCATACTTCTCTATGTATCTGCCCACTATACTGGATCTCCATAGTAGTGTAAATATGAAGGTTTCTTTGTAGCTTTTTGGTGCATTTTTTCATCTGTAGATTTTGAGGATGTCTTCAGAGATCTGTATTAATCCTCTGCTTTAAAATGGAAGTAGAGGAACTGAGGCTATAAAGTTTATTTGGCTCTTTAAGGACAAACAGTGAGTCTGCAACTTGGATGTGACTCAAGCCAATGTAGAGAATGCAGGCAGCATTTCTTCTGCCTTATCTGTAGTGGAGTAATGAGTGTTTGTACCTTACAGCAGCTGGGGGAGAGGACGGGCATCTCAGTACTACCTAATGCTGCTGCTTCCACTCTTGGGTGAAATTCTTCTGTGCCGCTTCTAATCCTCTGGTGAGATAAGATTGGTTGGAGTGGGTTAACTGTGACCTCTGTTCTTGCTCACAGCTCATTGAAATCTCATTAACCTTACCTCAAAAGTATTTCACAGTGTTTTGGTGTTTGGTAGTACAGGATAAAAGTACAGGATGCCAGTAAAGGACAGGATAAAACCACAGGATGCCATGCTCGTTGCTAATGTGGTGGATGAGCATGGGTGTGAAAACTTGATATCTGTGAGTGTAAGCATTTTGTGCCCATGTATGCGTGTGCCTATCCTTTCCTGTTAATATAATCTTCAAGCATTGTGACGGGAAGTGGAAGGAGAGTCAGTGAAACTCAGTTATGCATTTAAGAACTGTTATTACATATAAATTGATTTTTTTTTTTTGAGGTATTGGGAGATTAAGTATAGTATGGTTAATTTAAACCATGTCAAGTTCGGAAAATTCAGTTTATTAGGTGACTATTAAAAGGGAGAATAGAATGTAATGGTGATACTTAATATTTTGTTAATTTTTTTACTATATTGCTATTTTAGAAGCAGTAGAGTTTTTCTGCAGAAACATTTGAAGAAAGGGCAAACATCAAGAGATGTCATTAGTAATGCCTAGCAATTATCTCTAAAAATACTTTTCAAAACAAAGCATTTGAACAGAGTTATTGAAACTGCTCTGTTGCTTGGAAAAAAGGCGTATCTTTTAGTGGATTTTTTTTTTGAAGTACTGTAATCTTATTATAAGCATTATAGCCTCCTAGCAGTAAAATAAAATTAATAATCCTGTGTTAGAGATTAGTTGAGTATCTTCAAGACTGTCCAGAACACTTAATTCTGAGAAGCTTTTTTCTGCAAGATAAAGATCATGCTATTACAAGAACTTTATCTCTCATTACATGTACATGAAAACATAGCTGTTTCTGTTTTTTCTAAAATTCAGAGTTTGTTATGGAAGCTTATGAAAACAGAGTTGTAAAAGTTTTATTATAAACCTTGTTCATTTGCTACTTGCTGCAAGCATATCTTGACTAGTCATGTAGATGACACTGAACTACCAGGAGGTACAGGCTCCATATTGGAGAATTCAAATTAGTGCTATTTAACCTGATACATTCAAGGGTAAAGTGTGGTGGTTCAGTTACAGTTTCATGAGCAGCTAAACTGTTCTTGCAGGAGGAGCAGGAATTTGAGAGAGGAGCATGGTAAGTGACGAGGGACAGGATCAACAGTGATTCCAAAGTGAGGATTTTGGGGTGGTATTTTGAGTGAAAAAGCTAACTTAGACATGACCTGTTTATAGATAAACTGGGGATAATGAGGACAATTCTTACGATAATAGACATTAACATTAGAAAGCTTCTATTCAGATAATTTTATTCTTCACTGATATGGTCAGTTCAAAATCCTGAAATGTGCTTTCCAGTTTTTCTGGAAAAAAAAAAAGGGGGGGGGAAATCTTAACTGAAACACTAGTCGTCACTTGAAAGCTTTTGGATTTAAGCAACTGCATTGTAGAATGCTTTAAAATCAATAATTAAATAGCTTGCCTCATAATTTGGGGGTTTACACTACAAGTCAATCCTGTTATAATAAGAATTGAAAATATTTAGTACTTCAGAGGAGTTGCTGGCTTTTTGAGTTACTACGAGTTTGAATCCTGCCTCTTAGTTGCTGGGGAAGATGGGTTACAGCTTTAAAACATCGTTATCATTGGCTTCTTTTGAAAGTAAGTGTAGGGTTTTTTCCTAATCCTGTGATTTTTAAATTATTCCCAGATACCATACTATATGCATGTGGAGTCTATTTTACAATAATCATCAAGGAAGATGTCAATAGTTAAGCAAAAATGGCCTAGTAGGGGCAGTAGGGTAGCATTTTCATACATGTGTTCATCACCTGTTATCTGAGAAGTGGTTCAGTGATTTAAAAAAAAAAATAAAATGTAAATTCGTTCAGAGAGCCCCGGTTCAAGGCCTCAGTAAATAAACTGTCCATACCATTGTTTAATTTCTGTGATTGTTGAAGTAGGAAAAAGTCCAAGACTTCAGATTTTGCATATGTATGTGTATACATTGTGTGTTTGTACACGTGTATGTAGCCGTTAAAAGGAAACGGGAACCTATTTAGTGCACAGTGTAGAGGATTAGAACTGTGGAACTCTGAATCGGCAAAATCGGAAACTCTCAAGCAGTGTTTCCGCTCAGCCCGTTACCTTCAGTTTTAACGGAACGGGTTTAATGCTTAGAGCTGTGGTACCCTTGGGTCATAACCTTTACTCAAGACTTGCATGCTGTTTGTGTTACTTGCATCTCTTGATGCATTCCACAGGAACAAGTTTCCAAGACAGGTGTAGAGAGAGGATGATGTGCTGCAAATAAATTTTGTGAAAGTCTGTCTTTAAACTGATAGTGGCATTTCCTAGGCTGCAGAACTCTGTCACTCTGTGTTCCTCGCTGAAAGAAGTCCTTTTCTTTCAAAACCAAGCAGCGTTCTCCTTTGGGTGAATTGTCTGCATCTGGTGGGCAGAATGTTTCATACGCAACTCCTCATATTTTTTTCTGACAGAGTCCACTGGAGCTGTAGTTTAGACTTGCTGCCTTTGCTTTTCTTAGTAGCATGAAGGCAGAATGGGTGTAGGAGGCAAGAACGTACTTATGTTCTTTCCTACTGTTTGAGGTAGAACGATAGAAACCTCGTGGTTTCCATTTATTTTGGAAATTAGGCTTTTTGTTAGTTTTTGGTTGTCCTAAACATTGACTGTATGATCTCTTTAAACTTTAGATGCAAGTACTAATGCCAATAATCCTATTTTGTGGTGTTTTTTCCTAAAACTGACCTGTGTTTGTTGCAGCTGAAGCAAAATTCTGATGATTAAAACTTTTCTATATAATTCCACATGTACCTCTT